TGCGAGTATCGGTCAGCAGGCAGCAGAGATGGTTTTTTGTACCGTTTAAGTCGGGATAAGAGCGGTGGGTGGTGAGAACCTCTGGCAGGACAATGCAGCTGGAGGTATCTAAAAGGGCAGCCTCTCGTCTAAGCCAAGGGTGCTGCGTCCCACCCTCAAAGAGATGCCTGAAGCACTTACTTGCCTTTTGCCGGAGGAGATCAACCCCGCTCCCAAAAATTGCTCTAGAGAGACATGCTAACCCAGGGGCGAAACCAAACCCCTGTGATAAAAATGCAAAGGCCACTTTTGCATTTTAAAAATGACTGATGGCCAGCCCTCAGTCGCTAAGGGGGTGTTTCCTTCCCGGGCTGATCCCTGGGATTCCCCCGGAGCCCACGGCTTCGCCTCTGATTCATGGGTGACAACTGCAGCCCAACACCCTGCCCGGCTGCAGTTTCCTTCACGCTATAATATTCGATTCACAAACATGCCCCCGTTACCTAGGCTAGAGCCAAATATACCTTGCGGGCTCTTTCAGCCTATAGTTATTTTCTGAAGGCTGAGCTGTCTCGGGATCGGGGTGTAAAGGGAGGTGAAGTGCAGGGCCAGCCAACCAGGGACGTTTTGACACCGTGTCCAGAAATACTCCCTCCTAAACAAAAAGCCCGAGCCTGCAAACATCTCTTAATGGAGCCACTGATACTCGTTGCTCATAAAATAAATACTTCTTCTTTCCCACTTTTTATTCTTTTCGGTAGGCGGGTGAAAAAAGGATACGTTAGCCATAGGTCATTTACTTCCATATCATGCAATAATCCCCATCCTTCTCCGTAACAAGCCTCCCTTAACTATTTTTAATACCCCATGGAAATCCTGCACTGGGAAGGGACTTTCTAAGTCATAAAGTCCCATCTTTTGCTATTGCATGGGCCGCAGATAGAAAATCCTCTCTGATTTATCAAACTCTGTGTCTGCTTTTCCCCCTCGCTTCTCCTTTCGCATGTCCACAAGGATTTGAAGTTGTTATAATTTCTATCTTAAAATTACTCATAACCTGTTCATACCTTTCTTGGGCCAGCTGGGATAATATTTTTCTGGGTGCTACGGGCAGAAATCATATCACTTCGGTAGATTAATTGTGTTTTGAGATGCCAGGTGAAAGGTGGGTTTAAAATGATCTTGGAGCAAGGACATGACCTCTGGGATATCAGAACGGGAAAGACAAAATTCCCAAAGAACCCCATTATTTTCTTAATTAATCATGAACCTGTTCGTTAAAAATCTTTGAAGAATAGTTCCGTTTGGTTATTCAAATGAATTAAACTAGGCAAAAGAAGCAGAAGAGGGCAGGTATCACTAAATAAAAGTTACTCGTAGGTAAACTAAGAATTTCACAGAACAAAATGCTCTGTGTGGGTTTGGCAAAGGGCCAAACAAGCGTTGAGCCATGGATGTCTGCAGTGGGTCTGCACACACTTAGATGAATAAGAAAATAAATGAATAAAAAATGAATTCAAATTTTGTGACATTTTAAACTTGCAACTGCTTGATTTACTGAAATAGTGCGGTTTCATCATGTATAAATTTTAAGCTTCCATTACAGTTGATAAACAATATTTGATTTTTTTTTCCCCTGCACATTTTAGGCCAGATTTGATGCCCATAAAATTTTCTGGAAAGCAATTTTGCAGCAGGGCTACCTTAACTAGGGAAAGTAATGCCTTATTTCAGTAGCATTTAAATTATTGAACAATTTAAAATATTTAGTTACTCATATTTTGGATTCTTGAATATGTAGGGTTTATGTAAACCTTAATGTAGATGAAATGTTTATTAAGATAAATTGTATTTTCTCCAGCTGGCAAGAAGTAAGATTTTTTTTTGTTAAACTCATAAATTTTAACCATATGATATGGTCAGTAAGTTTGTTCCAGCTTTTTCTGAGAAGCATGTTATAACTGAGGTTTTAAATGTCAACATAGGTAATAGTAGAGTAACGAAAAATCTGAAACACGGGTTCATTTTTTTTCCTTTAAGTTAAGTTTTGTTCTGGCTGCAAATAGCGCCTTTTAGCTACAGAATATTTTCGAGGTAGATAAGCACTGAGCATATTCGGTACCCAAACTCCTGCCTACATCACAGCTGCACCTGCTGGGGGCTTTTTCTGTTAAACATGCCAAAAATACAGCGGGTAACTGCCGCTAAGCTGTGTGCTGGGTGCTACGCAAACACAGACAGGAGACAAATGCTGTCTAGCATCGTGATGTGAAAGCATATCGGAGCCAAGCTGTAGCTGCCAGGATGTTTTGCCACGTACCTTAAGTTAATATTTAACTGAATGCCTTCGAAAGGAACTGAATCCTGCTGTGTTTTCCCCCTGGTCCATCACACAGTTCCGTAAAAGATACTAATAACTGGATTTATCAGTGGCTGGGAAGAGCTAGAGTCTGCGAAACCACCTGTTTTAATTTACATCGTGTTGCATCAGCCCTTTAATTTTTAACTCTTGGATATGCCCATGAATGGAGCAATTACACCATAACGGAATATCCCTCAGCATCCCCTTCGGCTGCGGAGCTCAGATTTTTAAAATTAATTTCTAAACAGTGCAGCTGCAAAGAAACCTTTCCAGTATCCACATACGGCAGGCTCATTCCTGCGGGCAGCCTGAACCGATATACCCACACATGTAACAAGAAGTACAAAAGTAGTTCAACATTAAAATTAAATAAAACGGCCAATACTGAATTCCCTATTTTTATTTCCATAGTTTTATAGTTCCATTTGTTTAATGTATCATATTAAACACAGAGCATGGATTTTACCGCACAATTTAGATTGCCCTTGAGAAGGAGGACGGGTTCATCTATCCCTTTGGGCAATTTTTCCTCCACATTTGGTCCCTGGGAGGAAGACGAAGAGCACTTTTAGATACCTGCACGTCAGTGGGTTCTCTTTAAACTCTACCAAATCAGTGGGTTTAAGTTCTGAAATGAATCACAAGTTGGGCGGCGCTCCTTTGAAATGATCCAATGGAAGGAAGACTGCCAATCTGCAGCCGGCTCTGTAGCGTGAAGATTAAGATGATATGGATGTTATAATAATGGTAGGAAAACTTCTCGTTCCAGCACATCTGGAAAGCCAAGTGTCAGGTTATGCCGTTAGAAATGGCAGATTCTATATGTAGCACCCAGACTAGTGGTGACGTTTCCTTCTGAGGTCCGCTATACGCTTCACCACTCAGATGCCCGTCCTTTTCTGCTGAAATATTTCCCACCCAAGAAAAGGCATTGAAATCATCTCCTTAAATGTAGCACTAGCTCTGAAAGATTCCCCTTAGTCTTGTGGTGCTTCCTGGGATGAAGCCCACGGTCCGTGAGAAGTGGGAACGATTGGTGCCTTCACTTGTGTTGTGGATTTCTTTGTGATTTTCTCGTTTGCCAACGACAGGCTCTACAGGACGTTCAAGGACAGCAAGTACCTGTACATGCTGATGGAAGCCTGTCTAGGTGGAGAGCTCTGGACAATTCTCAGGGACAGGTAAGTTGTGAGAAACTGTTGTCCTACAAAGTGGGTTATTTTCTAATATGCCTCCTCCAGATAACCAAAGGTCTTTATCAAGGCCAGGTTGGATGGGGCTTTGAGCAACTTGGTCTAGTGGAAGGTGTCCCTGCCCATGGCAGGGGGTTGGAACTAGATGATCTTTAAGGTCCCTTCCAACCCAAACCATTCTATGATTCTAGGATCTTTCACGGGCAAAATCTGGATCTTACCATGCTATGTTTGATTTAAGATCCCAGAAAGGTGAGGAGCTATTTTTGTTCCTATGCAGTTGACTAGAGACAAAGTGAAGCCAGTTATAACTGAGAATAAGGACTGATTTAGGTTGCATCCAACACGTACAAGGCTTTATGTAAGTGGAGACTTATCCAGAGGTACTTTGTCGTGGCCTCTCGGAAAAAATACAGAAAGCAGTGATGGTAGCGATGGTAGTCATGTGATAGATTGCATCTACGACCAGTCTTTGACTGCCCTTTCCCTGTGTCTTCATCTCTAAAGGGTACCCCGAAATAGCCGGCAGCATATTTTAATTTTAATCGAAATAATTAATTACTTAATTTAATTTTTAATTGGCTAGAACAACAACCTTTTGCAACCACAGAAATTACAGCTGGGACAAGCGTCCTTGGTGCCCACACTACCTTTCTCACGTTTGGGAGCCTGGCTGGAGGCTCAGGCACCTGGTAGGGAAACGTGGGACTGTCTTAACGGTGACAAAGGCTTCGGGCAGCACGGATGATGGCAGAGGATGACCTTGCAGGGTGCAGCCAGGCCTTGCAGGAGGTGCAATGCCAAGGCCAGTCTCGCTGCGTTCCTGCAAGACACGCTCCGGAGATAGGGTCCTTCCAGCGCGGCACCTTTAGGCATTGCTGCCGTGGCCGTTTTAAACTCTGGACTTACAAACCAAGGCCCTAAGGCAGCAGTGGCGTGAGTGAGAGTTCACAGTTGCGAATGAAATCCATGGGAAAGTGCGTTTTCAAGGTAAAAAATGCAGACTTCTTCAAAGTCATCTGAAAAACCACAATTTCCCATCCCAGAGGAAGACCTGCTTTTTTCATCTCAGTGTTTGCTCCGCTGCCCACCCTCTGTAACTGTCAATAGCAACATCCACCTCTATCACAGAGGCCCTGTGATAAATAATATCTATTCATATTTCTTAATATTTATGACACGGTCAGGTCTGATAGCAATGAGCGGGAGGAAATCAATAGTTCTGCATGGGCTTTTCGTCCAGATATCACATAATACACGAGGGCCGCTCATCCAAGTGGGAAACAGGATCATGCATCAAATCCGCACCCGGCAAGGAGCAGTATGCCGTCGGGACGCAGAAGTGCCACGGAAAAAAAAAGTTAGGAAAGCATGTAATTACATACCGCGCCGTAATGCACAAGCAAATGTGGTCCTGGTATTTCCTGCCTTGGGAGGGTTTGACCTTGCAGCGCTGGGTTTTGGTTGCGGGTGGGTTGCGAGGGTGTACGTGGGACGTGCCCGTAATACGCCCGCGGGGCAGGAAAAGATGCGGTGAATTGCATGTCACTATGTAATAGGCTCGTAATTGGAACGTAATTTAATTAAATTTGGCAAGCGAAAGAAATGCATCAGAAAGATTGATCGGAAAGCAAAGATTAAATTCTTTTTTAATTACCTAGAACGAATTTTTTGTAATTCTTCCTTTTCCTAACAACCTGCCTTCTCCGGACCATTAAAACGAGAACCGTAGCAAAGTTAGCAGGTGCCGGGTTGTATTTTTTATCGTCTTTGTCAGAGGCTGAGAATTTCATCTTTAATTCTCTCGGCTTTAAATTGTGGTTCTGCTGCCACCTAGCTTAGACACGCTTCTGAACTCAGCCAGCTCCCACCGCGCGGGGGGTATGGTTTGCTTCGGAAAACTGGTTGCAAACTGGTGCTGAAACGAGGATCCAAAAGTGCAGTTCATGCTGAATTTGCAATTAGCACTTCAAGGCCCAGCAACTGTAATTTTTCTGCCTTTTGGCTCGGTTATGAACATCAGTGCAGGAGTTCTTGATCTCCATAGCTCAAAAGAGCTTCATCACCCAAAAGTCAAATATTACAATAAAAAAATGACCTTTTGCATACAAGATAATGATTTGTGAATTTTACCTCTATGAAGTGAAATTACAAAGTAAAACCTAAAATATTTGAGATAGGAATGTTTGATATGAAGGTGGATTGAAGGCAAAGATGCTAACTTCAAAAATGGAAATGCAATTAAATGTATATATAAAGGTGAGTTCAGCACCAGGCACTTCCCAGGTATTAGAGTGATTCTGCTGAACTGTGTAGATATTTTAACAGTAGGGTGAAGTCCACTAAGGGAAGAGATCTAATCGCTTTATCCCCTTTCCCTCCCTCATTTTACATAGAGGTTCATTTGAGGATTCGACGACCAGGTTTTACACGGCGTGCGTGGTCGAAGCTTTCGCCTATTTGCATTCCAAAGGGATCATTTATAGGGACCTCAAGCCAGAAAACCTCATTCTGGATCATCGAGGTTACGCCAAACTGGTGAGTGCCTGCAACGTCTGGTTTGCCAAAAAAAGTCACCGCTGCTACCAGACAACTGGTGTTAGGGGTAGAGGAGAACACAGGAGTAGCCATAAAGGGTCAGAAGCAAAGTCCACCCAGACCAGGGTCCTGTCTCTGATGGTGGCCATCGGTAGATGCTGAGATGACATCAGGGCAAGGGTGTCGTCACCCACCACCAGGATGTTTTCCCGACCTCCAGCAGACTGAGGCTCAGGGTACGGCTGAGCTGGGAAACACTGATTCTGGCTTGAAATTCAGATCTGTGGTCCTGAAGTGGAAATGTTTAGAGAAGAGCTTCAAGAGAAGTCCATCCAGCTGTTTTGGAGCTACTGAAAGACTAAAAAATAACTTGAAAGTAGGTGTCTTAGAATATTGGGAGGAGGGGGGAGGACTTGTATCTGTGGGCTTTACAGGCGACTGGTGAAGCAAATTTTGCAAGCTACTGGGTCAGGTCCTTTGTGTGAGCAATAAAAAAAGGCGTTTTTAATGGAAGTATTAATCATGATCCTGTCATGGCAAGAAATTATTATTATTAATTGCTCTGGACTCTGTTGCTGAACTGTGGCCAATAGAGCTTCTGGCTTTAGGAGAGCCACTTGTGTTTTAGCCCCAATAACACACCTGACTGATCCGTGCAAACTCCTCTGGGACGGCTGCCTAAGGCTCTGCCTGAAACTGCTCTTCCCAGAAGGTCGCGGTCCTTCTCGGTGCTGTCCCCCTGCAAGATCCACCTCCTCAAACCAGGACAGCAGCGTGTGCAAGACCTCCGCCCCCCACATTAGGGAGTTTCTGATGGGTTTCACGGTATTGCGTTCTTCACTCATGTTACTTTTTTGCCTCAAAAATCACTGTAGAGGTGCCCTGCGTGTAAGGTACACCCCAAATGCCAGCTGAGCCCACGGAGACGGGGAGAAGAGAAGAAAGACTTCCCTTGGTGGGAGGTGCTGGAGGATGTGTCCCTTGGGAAGCCATCAGTGAAGGACAGGGCAATGCACTCCTAAAAAGAGCTGCGTCCGAGAGGGGCTGATGCCTTCCCTGAGGGTCACGGGGGGCCAAGGGTTCTCCCTCTCGGCTTGGGGACTCTTCCCTGCCTTTGAGGAGGGAAACCCAGGAGCGGCGTCAGCAGGTGGGAGCAGTAAGTGAGAACATCTCCGCCATGGGCCTTTACAGCCTGGTGGCAGCCGCCGTGTGTCTCACCATGACACCAAGCCTAGTGAATGACATCAAAGTTTATCCTCTACAGCTTTTCGCTAAGGCCAGGGGGGACCTCCGAGATGTTGGATGATCAAGGAGGATTAGGTGCAGGACTGTCCTCCTTCCCACCTCAGGAGGATCTGGAGCGGGGTCTCTGCTGGTCCCATCACCAACCCCCAGCTCCTTAGACATGTTGATCTCCCTGAACACATCCACAATAGCACAAGAAGTGTCCCAGATCTCATGTGGGACTGTGACCATGTAGGACAATTTGCCCCTGACCAGCACAGGGAGGTGCAGGAGCATCTCGCAGCCATCAAGGGACAGCAGAGTGTGCTGCAGACCGCGGCTCTGGGCCAGCACAGCGCCAAGGCCGGGCAGGGCAGCGGGGGTAGAGCTAAAAATACAGTAAGCCTCTTAACCTGAGCTCTGCCTGGGCCCCGAAGGACGGCTTCAGGGCCCAGTGTAATCTGATTTTCCGTGCTTGCCGGTGCCATAGGGGCACGCTGAGGTTTGTGAGCCCGCCAGCACGTTCCAGCAGCCTCAAGCAAATTGGGAGGACACTCGTACTGCATCGCTCTTTATACTGGAGAGAAATCTGAATTTCTCATTAGAACAAGTCTGATGAGGAGCGGCTGAGGGAACTGGGGCTGTTTAGCCTGGAGGAGAGGAGGCTGAGGGGAGACCTC